GGCTCTAACCACATATAAATGTCCATAAAAGAAGTCTCTGCTTCCAACTGTGTGCACTCACAAGCCGTGTCCACAAAAGCCCCGAGCTTGTTTTGCTTACGAGGCAAATCCACCATGTAAGGGCTTTCAGCTGTGATTTGCTGACCATTTGCTGACTTGTGTTTTCATCCCAGTGGCCCATCGCCATTTCACTGGCGATTACACTGCTAAAGAGCTCCAGAGAGCTGGACAATGCCACAGACCTTTACATGTCTCCTTTGTCATTGGCCGCAAAGAGCAGGACGTGGCCACTGGATGAGATATCATTGTGTTTACAGTGAGGGGCCACCATGGGCACGCAGGGGATGGTGTGTCAATACCAACAGGAGACTTGCTGTGAATGCAAAGGCTTTGATATGTGTATGTACAGAGATTATGTGGTCTGAGGGTGTGTGACAGATGCTACTGCTCAGACAGAGCAGGGTGTGGCAGCAATACACCTCAGCTCTTATACACCCAAACACCTTTGTGAGTCTCTAAGGAGAGAGAGAGAGAGAGAGAGAGAGAGGGAGTTTGTGTTGTTAGCTACACAACAACAAACTTTGATATGTTCACAATGAGCAATCTGTGAGACTATGACTGAAGTATCAGCTATACAATAGATGATGTGTGATCTGTCATCAGGCCAAAACCACAACAATTGTGCCTCTGCTGCAGACACACACAGATAAAAAAAGAGGACAAATGTGTCGTCTGAAAGAAGAGACTCACATCTGAAATGTCCCACACATGCCTTTAAAGGCACCAACAGGTGAATGTGAGCCAGGACAAGCCACTGAACCCCAGGGGAACCAAGGAGTTTACATATTTCTGGTTAAAACTGGTGTTAACAAGCATCTTCAGTTTCTCTCCAAGTTGGCTGTTGCAAACTTGTTTGCCATTTTTACACATTGTTAAAATTTGAAATTACATTATACTGAGATAATCGACCTCTGAAATCTGTTCCACATGTCAGTGGCCCTATAGTTTCAGTAGGTGCACCTGTCACTTGGACTTGCAGCTCTACACTGTTTAAAGCGGCTATAATCAATATTTTATAACAATGTGATGACATCCGACTGTTTGCTGTCTTCACCTGGAGGAGCTACTGACGTGTGATGATCTGTTACCAAAATGTGAGTAGCAGTAACATGCGAGTTGACAGCAGTCAGAGGAAGGCGGCCTGTCCAGTTTTGTCCATCTTTGGGGTGGTGCCAGCGGGTTACTTTAAAATTTGTAATCTTAGAAGCCGTTTCAAGTAAATATGATTTGTAGGTGAAAACATCAGGGTGTCAGAATTAAAATGAAATAAACTGAAAAACAAAGGTCACATTTAAGTGCAGGTTTTCCCAGTGATGTGACAGTGCCACTGAGTCAGGTTACTAATAATAGCATGTCCCATTTATAGTCATTCAGTAAAATCAGTTAGAGAGGCAGAGCACCATAACTAAAGGAGGAGGGCTGGTTTCATTTTTATTGGATTTGTTAGTCAGCTCCACCCAAAAGTAGCACAGGAATGAGGAAGAGTTGTGGAAGGTGTGTGTGTGAACACCTGATGGATGTAAATTCACGGTCATTTAAATGTTTGATGTTTTTTACTCCTCACTTTCTCCTATAACAGATGATAGTGCACAGCCCCGACGTGCCCGCCTTTAACACACAGAGAAACAACAACCGCTGCTGCTCCCTCCATTATAATTATGCAGCCATTTACAATAAGCTGTGAGAAACTGCACATGTCCTGATTGGTACTGACTCGCTGAATATTTGAGGCTTTAGTCATAAACACAGGAGGAATCCTGCGGGCCATGTTCAGCGGCTGGAGTCACACTGCTGTGTCTCATTTGTCCACTTATATTGGATGTTACATGTGACACAGGAGAATAACCAGTTTAAAAGGTGTTTTAATAGCAGAAACCGGATCACAGGTTTGTGCTATGTGTCCACTCACAGATTTCCAATGCCACATACAGATGGGTGACAAATGGAGGGAAACCCCTAAAGAGTCCCAGTGAGGTGCTAGGCTGCCACTTGCCACCAGAACAACTCCATCTTGGCACTGACTCTGAGCGAGACTGAAGGGATGAACACCGTTCTTCCCTCATGTGGTGTTTTGATGATGGTGGTGGAGACGCTGTCTAACACATCGCTCCAACATCTCCTATAGTTGTTCAACTGGGCTGAGACCTGGTGACTGGGAAGGCCACAGCATCTGATTCACATCACGGTCATACTCATCAGACCAGTCAGTGACCCCTCGTGTTCTATGGATGGGGGCCACTGTCATCCTGGAAGAGACCACTCACTTATCCTGGCTTTTCCTTTAATTTGTCACCTGTCTATGTGTCTGAGAAATGTTTGCAACTTTCTGAGGCAAAAAACCCAACAATTTACTTTGTGCAACTACATGGAGGTGTGAAAGTGGCCAGGCTTTAGATTTTACATAGCTACTCCAGTCACTTTTCATGTGCTCAATCAAGTGCAACACCATGAGTAACTCTGAGAAGAGACTGTCTGACAATGTGTGCGGTTATCACTGTTTGTTGGACTTTCTATGACAGCAGGCTTTTCACTCATATTCAGAACAAATATATAGTCACACATCACTTTTACAATCTATTCTCTATGAAGCATCTTAATCTAATACATACAGTACCTGTGAACAGCTGCCAGAGACCAGATCAACTTGTCAGGTGGTCAAACAATCCTCCAATCAGCACTCAGCAAGCCCACGTGAGAAAAAAGTAAGAATTTACTATGCAGGTACAAACATGATGTCCTTGTTTTTACCTGAAATAAAAAGGCTTTAAATGTTTTTGTGGAATGGCTGTATGTTGATGGAGGAGGGTTAAAATGTGTCATTTCAGGCCACTTGTTCATGTAGACTGTTACAAAATGTTAACGGCAAGATGGTAATGCATGATTTATTATAGTTTATACAGCACATACCAAAGTTACATATTGACTTTAATGTTTATTTGGTACATTTACTCAGATTTATTATCTATCTATTTTCACTTTTCTGGTTAAAACTCAATTTGTTGAACTGGTACTTGGTGCCTGTACCAAGATTAAAGTTGAATCTAATCTAGTGGTAGAAAGTAACTTGGAGGTTTATGTGGATATGCATTAACCAATGGATATAACTCAATAACCCAACATATATATAATAAAATAACACTCTTACTGTTGATACTTTAAGAACATTATGCACACAGTACCTCTTTACTTTTATGGTTAAGGTAAAAATGTTAGTGCAGGACTTATAGTTGTAATTTTACACTGTGCTGTTTCTGCTCTCACATAAGTAAAGAGTCTGAAAATGTCTTCCACCAGCGGTGAATGATGTTAAATCAGGCTCAGCTATATTTTCTATGGTATTTTATGGTATAATCAAAAGAGTTTCTTTATCCCTGGTGTGAAATTGACAAGCTACCCAGCAGTATATACAGTACTTCGGGTATACAAGGTAGTTAACACTAACCCCAGCTTTACCAGCTGCAACATTAAAGTGATGTAATACATTAATAATAGAAATGAATGTAAATGTGCCGTTCTGCATAATGAGTAAGTTCACTTTTGATGCTAATACTTTTATACTTAAGTAACATTCTGAATGCAGAGATTTTACCTTTAAGTGCTTTTACACTGTGGTATTGTTACTTTTACTTTAGTAAAGAATCTGATTACTTCTTCCACCACTGTCTGTTACTAAAGTAATCTAAATAAAAAAGCCACCACTTCCAAAAACGCTTCATCCCCCTCCCCTCAACATTAACACATTTGAACCCCTTCACACAGAGCATCAAGTGGCACACGTAGAACTCATACTCACCGAAACAGACCAAAACGGACTTTTAATGCTGAGCTATACCTTGGTTTTTACAGCAACACAGCAGATATGGACACAACACAGACACAAATTCCCAGTCTCTTGTAGTGAAGTTACAAAGCTTCAGAGAAAAATGTGAAACTCAATGGAAACTGGACCCAGAGCGTATATGGACACGTGTGTAGGGGCGGAGAAGAGGTGCTTTCCCCACTTTATTTATACAGTTTATTTACAGCAAGATAACATAAAACACACGGGTGAGGAACAAACACGTGTCACGTCGTATCCACAAGCTTTTTACACTAGTAATTACTGTAAAAACGTCGCGTTTTTGACAGAGGTTTGGTGAGTGACAGTGACTCGGCTCCGTGCAGCGCGACGTATACAGGGTTACGTGCTGCGTTCACGCTGTGGGACAATTTTAATTCGCTAAAGAAATACTGTACATTAACTCCTGTATACCTATAGTCTTGGCTTCATTGCGTTTATAGAAAATCTGTAATTGCGAAATCAACGTTTATCTCGTGTCCTTTCCCCCTTTCCTTTAAATTCATAAAAAATTATGTTTAGCAGTGGTAAACAGCCACCAACTGGTCTTATTCATGCAGTAATAGCAAGGTTATAAAATACAGAAATTACCACAAAGTAATGTTGTTAATCCAAATAAGAAATCATTTAATACATATTAGTTTATAGGCTACATAGGCTGTCTAATAAATGTTTAAGTATTTTGTTTGCCAGAAAGTTGTTCACAAATATTCAGTATTTTACTTACACACACTTCTCAGTTTATTGGGTAGCATCCTGTGTTGAAACATTTTGATCCGATAAAGATTGCAGCATATTTAGCAAACCATATGCATTTAAAACATGCATATTTACTTCTGCAGCAGGACAAAATTGCTATTTGGAATTTTGGTTTGAATTTTTAACACTAAACCAAATTAGATTAAGCAGATAACTTAGTTTAAATCCATTACAGTCTATTCGTGATATATTTCGTTACTAAAAGCACTTGAGTGCACCTGACAAAGTGGCATTTTATGATTTCCCAAAGAGGATATGAAAAGTTTTTTCAACGAGGAAGCACTTGAAAGCAGCATCTCGACCTGACCCAAAAATCGCGCTCCCGGCTTTACGTGGCTACTCCCCCTTCATACCGTACGTGCGCGCACCCCTCTATCGCGTGGTGGGGATCATCCATATTGCTGCTAGTGGTGGAGATAAGGTTGTAATCTTGGGAGGCCCTCGGACACGGTTCTTTATTTGTTTAAATGTTTTAAACCAGCGCTGACCGCTCGGACTGAAGCTCGTCTGCTCTGGGAGCGACAGAGGAGCGGCACACTCCGCGGTACTACTTTGCATTTCCTTGAAATCGAAGTCGGATTCGGACCGGGGGAAGGACTGGTAATCCTGAGGGGGGAAGAAAGACGGTGGTGGGAAATGGCCACTCAGGTGGAGGCTCTCCTGCCCGGCAACCCGCTCGCAAAGGCGGAGGAGCACGGCAAAGTGATCCGCGGTGGGCCTGAGGAGGAGGAGGGAACCCCGGCTGCGAAGGAGCAAGCGTCTAAACCGGCGACAGAGGACAGCAAAGTGGGCTGTGACAGCGAAGACAAGCAAAACGAGGAGGGTGTTAAAGGCAACAGGAAGGATTTTCCTGAAGCTCCTCCGCCCAAGGTGAACCCGTGGACTAGGAAGATGAACGCGGTGACCGTGGTCAACGTGAATGGACAGGCACACCACGGTGGGTACCCACCCTTCTTACATGTTGGCTTTTGTGGACGTCAGTCTTGTGCTGGTCTCTGTGCGTCCAGGTGTGGCCACAGGGGTCAGGGAGCATGCATTGCATTAAAAGAGCCTAGGGTGTGCACAGCTAGCCCCACTGTGGTCTGTGCAAGCGGGTTATATTTGGAGTCGGAGCCCCCCTCGTCCTCCTCGTGGGGAAGGCTATTCCTGGAGCCCAGGGTGGCTGTTTGCACAAAGGATCACACCCTTTGAAAAGTTCAGTTCCTCCATGATGTTGCTCCTAGTTTTACTAAACGTAAAGAGCCGAGCTAACTCTTGTCATATGTCTGCGCCAGGGGTGAACCCCTTTAAACACAGGCTAAGTGAAATGAACTGCTACTGATGGTTAATTTAAGATCAAATCGTGTTGACTCAGTTTCTCCTTAATCATCACTTGAAGAATTTAAGGTGTAATTAAGGGTTGCAGTTCCTAAACAGACAAAACGGCGCTTTGCTCACTCCTTCTGCGCCTTTTATGGACACGTTGTGTTGCAGTGCGATGCTTGTAACCTCGCCTGCTTGTGTCATCAATGCATTTCACAGGATCATGTTTTGGGTGTATCTTCCTGTCTTTTGGGGCCACAGCATCTTAATTTCAGCAGTGTCACCGTGCATGGTGCCTGCAATGGGTTTTAGCATTTAAGTTAGAAGAAGACAGACGACTTTGACTTAAAGACGTCCTCATGCTTGGTTTGCTTTATCACCATGTCCCCCCTCCCCTGCGTGTCCAATCCAATGCCGACCAGTCAGCCAAACCTTTGCTGACACAATCCTTGGGCTTGCCAAATATTTGAACCGGAGTTTACTACTGTTTATATCTGATTCTTAGACTTGTTTCGACACATCCAGGCGTTAATGAGACATGCGCTCATGTCTTGCACTGCATTGGTTTACATAAAAGCCAGGAGCCGAGCCGGTTGTATGGCTGCTTAGCCTGCTAACAATAGCGCAACAACTCGGCCTAGTGCGTCGCCAAAGCCCTTCCCGTTCAGATGCTAGCTTAGCTTCCAGGTCGCCACTGTCCGCTTCCACTCACACTGTATTAAAAATGTCAACGTTATAATCTGTCTAAGAACGATTCTCGACAACGAAACACAACCAAGCACTAAACATCTGTTAGCGTAATCTCTGAAAAGGAACAGGTTTGTTATGATGTCACGTGTTCCCTCCACGTGTTCCCTGAGAGAAAGGCATGGGCGCTAGCTTACTACCTCTTCGCGCTAGATCTGTGCAAACTAAAGAAGGCACGTGTTGTTTGGGGTGGTTCTGTGTGAATCAGCCTGGTTGTCTCGTGGATAACAACCCGGTTGACATGTCGTATGGGCTGTCAGAGCAAACCCGGCTCCTGACCGCTCGTCCACCCAGCTAGCTGTCGCTAGCATTTAAGCTAGCAGGTGGAGTCTTTGTGGCTTCTGCACTGATCCGGGCTAAAGGTGGCAACAAATTATGCTTTGCTGTTAAAGTCCCTACTGGCGCCGTCTCAAGAGCTCGGTAACCAGTTAGTTGGGTGACTGTTGGTGGTGTACACAGACCAGAGAGCTGCTTTCTGCTCTGTCACTGCAGCCTGGTTTCATGTGAGTTGTCCTTGGGCACTTGTTTCACAGGCATGATTGTGAGCGCTGCCAGCCAGCTGTTTGTGTTGTCTTTTGTTTGCTGTGCTGAAGCTAAACTAGAGTTCTGCATACGGGCTGTCCCCCGACTCTAGACTGGTTTGGGTGGACTGGGTGGATGTGCTTCAAAACTGTCAAATCAGCTAACAGACTTGGCAGGGAGCCTGAGGTGGAGATAACCAGGCAGTAGTGCCAGAATGTTTTCTGTTAGATTCTGAGGCCAACATTGCAACTGCAAGCTGATTGTTGATTGTGTGTTTAGAGCAGCAGTTACAAACCTTTTATTCTTGTATTTTCTTAATACAAAGTTTTATGTACTTGAGAGTAGTATCACAGGTTGTTCATGACCTGTGAGCAGTTCTGTGTAAGAGTGCAGGCCTGTTCTCAGATTATTGAAATTAGACTATAGAGGCAAGTATGCAAGTATTTTACACACAACAAAATCAAATTTAGACTTGAAAATGATCATAATGTTCAGGGTCTGATAGTTTTGGAGCTCCCATGTTTGGAATCCTCTGGTTTTGAGCAAACACTTAAAAGCTAGCTTTTCTTTAGCATGTTTAGCCAGTGATGTTGGAAAAATGTGACTTTGTTAGGGCTGCAATTAACTGTTGTTTCAGTAAAATGTCAGAGTAATTCTCATCACCATTTTCTAAAGACTAGTGTGGTAGGCTAGTGGTTAAGGCGCAGTGCTCTCGACGCCGCACCCTGGGTTCAAATCAGGGTTGCATCAGGAAGGGCATCCGGCGTAAAACATGTGCCAAATGTCAACATGCGAGTTGTCAGCGTGACGATTCGCTGTGGCGACCCCTAAATGGGAAAAGCCAAAAGTGACTTTCTAGTATGGTGTCTCTATATTGTGTGTTTTGTCTGCCCAGCAGTCAAAGATGTTCATGTAACTTTCACAGGTAACAAAGAAAAGCATCAGTTCATCACAAATGAGACGTTGAAGCTAAAGAATGTTTCATATTTTTGCTTGATCAGTTGATTAATTGCTGAATTGTTTTTAAATGTTTGCTTGCAAGGTTTTTAAAGGAAATATTGTTCGTCAGCCGAAACTCAACGAGTCAGACTTTTAACAGGTAGCCTCTCTAATTAATGTGGACTCACTAATTGCGATGGGGCAATGAGGCGTATATCTCTCCCTCTCACACGATTCAATATACATCTCAATACATGATCCATGATTGGGTACAGAAAGCACAATGCTTTTTAACCATGCTTGGAACAAAATCAGCCAGTAACGTTATGAGCAGTGTATCAAACAGCTGTGGAACGAGCAGAACAGATGCATGTAACGCTAGTACATGAGGACGTTGCTGTTCAGCCAGTCAAGGGCGACAACCCTGTGAGCAGCCTGGAACTTGAGTTAGCACCGTCTCCTGATGGGTGCTGAAATTTAGCAGAAGCACCGTGCACGTTTTGTTACAGGTTGGTAGGTAAAGGCCTGAGTGTGTCTGTGAACAGGATCCAGGGCTCCTGTCTGGGATAAGAGCACTGGCTGTCAGACCAAAAGTGTGTCTCCACAGCCTCCATGCCCTGTTTCAGGGTCACAGCGGGTGAATGTTCCTGTGTGTGATTTATCCGCCCTAGGACAGTGAGGACTTTATTATCAGAATGAACTGAGCTCTTGAAATTTCTCTCTTAGTGAAAATGTGACACAATTCAGGCTGAATCAGTGATTTTATAGGCCACCATTCTTGTCACCTGTCAACAGATGACCAAACTAACTAGTACAGTTGCTTTGGAATGTGTTCAGACAGCCTTTGTACGCTGTATTGTAAATGTCATTTTAAATGGATGCAGTTGCCATTTTTGTCCATTGCTCACTACCCCATAACATTGTTTTAGAAATCTTTGCAAATGTATTAAGAATAAAAAACTTAAATCTCTCAATTTAAGCCACTTTGGCAGCACCCACTAAGGATCCTTGAATCAGTAAGGTGCATTTTTCTGTTCTCTCTCTCAAACAGGGGGTTCTGATCTCTGTCTCTGTTCAGAGGCTTTTGTTCACAGAAATGTTATTTTGGGTTTTAATTGTTTAGCACTGTGCTATCAGCGATCAGTTTATACTGTGAGTGGTTCAGTCGTTATTTACAAAAGCTTAATGGGCATTTCCATTCACTTGTTGTGCAGCCTGAGACCTAAAGCTGTACTGTGTTTTTGCTTTATTACCTACAACACAAGATGCACATGGACTCGCTTATCGGTGCTGTTGCAGTGAGAAACCAGAACTGTCTGATGAATTATACTTGAAAATAAGCAAACTAGAACCTGACGCTGCCCTACAGCCTTGCTGTGTTTCCACCCTGTGCTTCTCAGAACTATCACCTGGCATAACCTCATGGGCTGGCTGTGGTCCCTCCCCATGTTGAGTTGAGGGCGGGGCTGTGCTCCTCACACACTCAGCTGAGCAGCTCATGTGTACATGTGAGCCAAGGATCACAATACTCCCAACAAGATCATCCAGTGACAGGAGACTGCATGAGCAGTTTATCAAACCGCTTTTGAACAAGTCCTTGTTTTACCTCTAAGCCTGTGAGTGTGTCCCTAATAGTTGAGGTGTAAAGATGCTGACATTTAACCAATCACAGGCAAGAGTTCTGTGAGCACCCATCCACTCCTCCCTCATGTTTCTGGAAATTGAGTTAGCACCGTCTCCTGAGGGTTGCTGAAAGTTAGCCTCGGGAACCCGTCTCCTAAGCGACCAGAGAACAGCGGAAACAGAAGCATCGTACACGTTTTGTTACAGGCCTGAGTGTGTCTGTGAACAGGATCCAGGGTTCCTGTCTGGGGTAAAAGCACCGGCTATCACACCAAAAATGCATCTCCATAGTCTCCACGCCCTGTTTCAGGGTCACAGCAGGAGAATATTACTGTGATTTACGACAGGAGCAGGGTGGATCTGGATTCAGCTCATTTTTATAATCAGCTCCGACATGTCACTACTTGCTGGGCCTATTGATAATTACTGGGGAAATAATCATCTCAGCCACAAGGATACAGTGACAAGCACGTCACCTTGCTTTTCTTTGTTGTCAGACTTTGCATACTGGAAGTGAAGAGCTCAGCTTTCACTGTTAACATTATTTTTTCCTTAGATGGGTCTCTTAGCCAAGTGAAACCTAAAGAAAAGCTTGAAACACCCAGCCATGCGCGGTTAAAACATCATCACTAAGGATGTGGATGATCATCAGCTGCCTCACCATGAACATTCATCAGTCTGATGCCTTGAGAGATAAAATATTTTTCACCCTGTTAGACGTGGCCTTTGAGTCCTAGTGCAGAGCGAGAAACCCAAACTCCATGCAGAGGACAGTGAGGACTATTGTCAGAAAGAACTGAGCTC